CTATTGAAAAATGAACCTGAATGAGACTGGATGAACATTAAACTCCTTGGCAACATCCTATACATAAGAGTCTACTTAACAAGGAGCTTGGGTCGAAGTGGAAATAAAACATGTAGGTGTTAAATTCTGCTGCTGGTACTAAGAGGCAATAGTGGAGCTCACAATTAGAATCCAGGCTCACTGGCTATGAGACCATACGTAAGTTATTTAATCTTTTGAGGCTTAATTTCCTCACCTGTGACTGGGAATATAATTATCATCTAAGTAGGTAGGGGTTTGGAGTAAGAAGAGAATTGGCTAGAGTCCTCTCTGAATTCTTCCTGTCCATCTCATAACATGTGATAAGTCACTAAGTTCTATTGATTCTAAACCTCCAAGACCTCTTTCTCCCATCCCCTTTTCACCCCTCCCTTGCCAGCCATCACTTCTTGGGCTTTCAAAACCTCCTGATGACTATTCCATCTCTAACTCCTTATGCTTCCAGAGGGAACTGTTTCATCAATTCTCAGACATGCTCTTTCACATGCTAACATCTCTGAAGTCAGAACTCGGCTTAGTCAATAGCCTACCATGGTGTTGTCAGCAATCTGTCGATCTTACTTAAATGGTATGTCTTAAAATCAATGATTTCTTAGATTCAGTAAGCAGTATCTTTTCTAAAATAGATCAAGAACTTTTAGTTATTTCCCATGTCTTCCAGTTGAACTTCAAATCCTTTTGTCTGCCAGATACCATTTCTCATGACCTGACTCCAGCTCTATCTCCAGCCTCATTTGTGACTATCTCCTACTGCAGCTCTCTTCTGATTACCCCAGATTACTGGGGTCCTTCGCTGCAAACTCACACCCCACTGTGCTCTGCTCCTCCCTTCATCCTAGGAGACACAGCGCAAGGACCCTGCTTGCAATGATTCTCAGCCTGCCTCTCTCCTCCCCACCTTTCCCTGCTCCTCAGGCAGAATGACCCCTATTTCTTGTTCTCAGGTTTACCACCCCTAAAACAGTGTCCAGTGAGATGAGACAGCTTACATAATGAGCCTTTAAAATAGTGCCTGGAACCCAGTGACTCTCCCAGGTTAATTTACCTCGAATCCTTACAACCTCCAAATAACAGTCTTGCTATTTTCTTCCCTTCTGGGAAGCTAAATTTTTAACTCTCATTAATCTTATAGAAACTGTCCGATTATACCAAAATAGGGAATTATAAACTTAAGTAAAGTTCATTTTTTTCTATCTGTTAAAAATAAAACCTGTAAATTTCGTTTGGGGATTCTGCTAGTTGCTGCATGTGTCTATTCCAATTATACATCCTGAAACTGGGGAAGTCACCACAGGCTGGCTCAGGGACCCACCGGGACCACTGTGAGGTGGACCTGTGCTAAAGCTCCATGGATCACCTGACCTCTGTAAGCCCCTACTCCGACTGGCAAACCCCAGTGACATTTTGGGGCCCAGGAATTAGTGTCATTTCAGGACAAGTGTTTGGTAATTCCACAAAAGTTTGACCAGTTTCCCTTCTCCAATTCAGTCACCTTGGTAAATTATAAGACTAGGGCCTTGGCTGCTCAGAAGAGGCAAGTTACCTGGGAGATCAGGCAAGTGTTAGTAGGTTGGCATTCAAGCTGGTCCCATAAGGTACACGCAGATTTAGGGAGAGGATGCTTTTTAGATAGAGATCTCCTAAAAAAAAATGTGGTCTGGTCTAGCTATGGGTTTTGGCTATAGGCCTGTGAAATGTGATATGGAATCATGGACTTTCATTTTCTGATCTGTTTCATCTCTTGCCTAACACGTGGCCTGCAGCACCAGGATTGTTGAAATCAGTGACTTCCTAGGACTAGGCTGAGATCTGGTAGGAATAGTGATGTTAGTGGTAGGCAGGATGTGATGCTCCAAAGTATCTGACACTTGGTAAAATGTATTTCGTGCCTGTCACTTAACTCACAGTAATATGTGGAGTAGGTGTCATTCCCATTTGGTAGATTACAAGGCTGAGGCTCAGAGAGGTTCAGGGACTTGCCCAGAGTTCTAGTCATCATGCCTCAGTCTCTCCATGTTTTCCTTTGAACGAAGAAACCACTCAGTAAACCCGTGGGACTCCTTGCCTTCTGATCTGTGCTCTTCCTGTTACTTCAGCTCGGCCTGCTTCTTGAGAGAAATGCATGGAGTGCCACCTCCCCTCCCTCCACCTTGCTGTGAGGTAGCTGAGAGGCCCAGGTAGGCAATCTGCCTGAAGGAAAGGACAGAGTCTGACCAGCCTCTTCCGTGTTTTTTTTTTTGTTTTTTTGTTTTTTTGTTTTAGTGGGCTCCTGGGGACTCCACGTGAAAACATGCTTCAGCTTCAGGTGAAATGAGCCTGTGCAAAGAAGTACTTTTTGTCGCTAGGACAAGTAGCTGCGTTCCCCAGTTTTCCATTCTGTCACGCTCATGGATGCTGTGTCTGATTCTAAGGATGTTTCCTCTCCAGTGCTTTCCTCTCAATAAACAGCCCCCTACCCCCATCCCGAACCATCTCCTAAGCTTCGCTCACTTCCCAGGCTCTTCAGTCCTGGTCCCATCTGCCCCACCCACTCACTCACTCAGGGTACTTTTTTCTTTCCCCGGATTCTCATAACCTGGACTTACACAGTAGTCTGTTTTGCAGACTTGTTTTCTTTTTACTTTAGTTGCCATAGTTCCCAACTTTGTATATAAAATAATCACCACTCCCCACCCTTTCTTTCCCCACTGTTTCATTGAAAAAGTTGCCCTGTTTTCTGATGTGGCCTTTGCAGAAGGGATTTGATGTTTTTTTAATCTTTTCCTTTCTGGCTCTACCACCAGCAGACATGTCTTGCTCCTGTTTATGAGTTTTTATTCTAGAGTCTAGAGAGTCAGGATTTAGATCACCACTTCATTTTATAGTGTTTTTAGATAAAGAACCTCGGCCCACTAGAGCCAATGACCTAGAAAGAGGATTATGAGATGGGAAACAACTGATTTTAAAAAAAAGAAAGAAAGAAACCCATCTGCCTTAAACTGGTTCTACCTGTATTACTTTGATTGTGAGTGATTAAACAAACAAATTATATAATTACAGGGGAAATAAGGCCTGTCAGATCATGGTCAGAAACCTAAGGGTTTTGCCTTGTCCATTTTATTGCTTTAACCTAGAACTCCTAAACCACTGGCTTTGGTAGACTATGTGCTCTGGTAATTTGGGGGCCGTTTGGGTTGGAAGGGGGCGGGAGATCCTGGATCACTATTTCTCTTTATAATGAAGTAGAGTAAATAACTAGTAAAAAGAAACCTTCCAGGAGAGGCTGTGTATAGCCCTCCTTTTTAGTAGAATGGAGACACCATACTAGGGATCATAGGACTTGTCCTTAGGCCCTGGCATAGTCATGAATGATCCATGTGACCACCTTGGGCAGGCCCAGCCTCATCAGCTAGGTAAGACATCTGTCTACTTTAGGCTTAGCTTCTGGGGCACTGGTAGTTATCAAATAACTTCACATAAAGGCACCGTGGGTGGAGGTGGAAGATGGCATAGAGGGGGTAAATGGTGATGGAAAAAATAAAATAATAATAACTTAAAAAAAAAAAAAAGAATATTGGGATTTGTGTGGAGATGCCAGTCACCAGCTTTTCTGGAGCTTCTATGGTTCAAAAGGAAAGACGGAAAGATAAGAGCTGGAGTTTCAAGCCAATACAATGTGATTCCACCTATACATCTACTTCAGACTCCACTGTTCCCACCAGACTTCTATTTATACCTCTAGTCCATTTGTTCTTTGTTCTGTTAATCCATTCCATCTCTCAGCCTAGAATTCCCTTCTTTCTTCTCCCTGCTGATGTACAGCCTGTCCTTTAGGGGTAACTTAAGTCTTGTCCCTTCTCATTTCTTTAGATCTGGCAACTCCTACCTACCTTTGAAATAGTGGTAACCTCCTTTAAATCAAGCTTCATTAGAGATGGGGGTGTTGTGTACTCACTGTGATAGACATATGGTGGGCTAGCAGAAAACTGATGAATTGGAGTGTGCCTCTGGAATAAACAGAATTGTAGTGCAGTTCTAGATGTATTGACAAGGATCAATATACAAGTTACAAAGAAGGGAGGGAAGGTCATTTGCTTGGCATGGAGTAACAAACATTTAACAGTCTTCTCACATGCTTTGCCTTGTCTCATCAGCAGCCCTGGAAGGTATGGGTGATATGATGCTGCCTCTTTGGAAACAGTATAAAGAAATGCAATGGTTGCCCTTACCGGTTTGGCTCAGTGGATAGAGCGTCAGCCTGCGGACTCAAGGGTCCCAGGTTCGATTCCGGCCAAGGGCATGTACCTTGGTTGCGGGCACATCCCCAGTAGGGGGTGTGCAGGAGGCAGCTGATCGATGTTTCTCTCTCATTGATGTTTCTAGCTCTCTATCCCTCTCCCTTCCTCTCTGTAAAAAAATCAATAAAATATATTAAAAAAAAAAAGCAATGCAATGGTTTCGCAGTCAAATGGATTTGAGTCTGTGAATTCTAAGTCTCTATGAGCCACAGGTTCTTCATTTTATAAGATGGAGCTGTTTCCTTCTACCTCCTTAGGTAGTGGTAAACATTAAGTTGAATGTCAAATGCCAGTGCAGGCCTCTGTAAGTGGTTACATGTGGCCATTTACAGGTGAAGAAGCAGGAGTAGAAACTTGGAAAGGTAAACTGCATTGCCTCCTGGCTGTTCACCCAGTCAGCAGTAAACCAGAGTTACAACCCAGGCACCCTTAAGTCCAAATCCAGGTGCTTGATGCCAGTCCCTGCAGCCTGTGTCATACCATGTTTTGTCCCTTCACTCATCCTGTGTGAGTAGAGATGGGCTGGCTGTGTAGAGTTGGCTCATGCCAATTTTACTGGTCCTCCTGGATTGGAGCAATTGTCACCACTATCACTTTTAACTTTAATAGACTGCATTCCTATAGCCTCAAGGTGGTGTGAATGTGCCCATCTCACTCAAGCTCTTTCCGGTCTTCCTTTGATTTAGGAGAAAGGATCCTGGGTTATGCTGAGGAGCCCTGTTATCTCTGGTTTGTCATGGAGTTCTGTGAAGGTGGAGACCTGAATCAGTACGTCCTGTCCCGGAGGCCGGACCCAGCCACCAACAAAAGCTTCATGCTACAGCTCACAAGCGCCATTGCCTTCCTGCACAAAAACCACATCGTGCACAGGGACCTAAAGCCAGACAACATCCTTATCACGGAGAGGTCTGGCACCCCCATCCTCAAGGTGGCAGACTTTGGACTAAGCAAGGTCTGTGCTGGGCTAGCCCCCCGAGGCAAAGAGGGTAATCAAAACAACAAAAATGTGAATGTGAATAAATACTGGCTGTCCTCAGCCTGCGGCTCAGACTTCTACATGGCCCCTGAAGTCTGGGAGGGACACTACACAGCCAAGGCTGACATCTTTGCCCTGGGCATTATCATCTGGGCAATGATAGAAAGAATCACTTTCATTGACTCTGAGACCAAGAAGGAGCTCCTGGGGACCTATATCAAACAGGGGACCGAGATCGTCCCTGTTGGTGAGGCGCTGCTAGAAAATCCAAAGATGGAGTTGCACATCCCCCAGAAACGCAGGACTTCCATGTCTGAGGGGATCAAGCAGCTCTTGAAAGATATGTTAGCTGCTAACCCACAGGACCGGCCTGATGCCTTTGAACTTGAAACCAGAATGGACCAGGTCACATGTGCTGCTTAAAATTCAGGGCAAAGCATCTTGGTTGTTTTTAAACTAGGTGAGTGTACTCTTTTTGTTGTGCATGCAGTCTTCCTGGACTGGATTGGTCACCCTGGGCTCTGGGGCGGGCCCTTAGGGAGTCGGGAAATGCAGGATTGAAGAGATCTACTAGTAAGTGCTTGTTATCAAAGATCTCCCAAGTCTTGATGAGGAGATATATGGGATTATTTGAGTATGAGTTGGAATGTCTAGAAGTTTTCTGAGTGGAGTTGCATTGGAGTTGAGTTCTTACATTTCTTAGAAACATGTTTTCTCATTAATTAATAAAGGCTTACTGTAGAAAATGTACAAAAGGGTACGGACAATTTTTTTCAGAGGATAAATGCCATCCCTAATTGTATCCCTTCTACTTGCACATCCAGTTCTACACAGTTTAGATCATGCTGTGGTTAGTTACAGTTTTGTTTCCTGCTCTTTCACTCCATGCTAATCTGAGCATTTCCCCATGTCATACTTTGAAAGTATGGCTTTCATTATATGTACCATAATATAGCCATTTTCCTACTCTAGATACCAGATGGTTTCTCCATTCTTATACACTATAAAGACTGTGAGTGAGGATTCTTACCTGGAAGGCTATGCTTATGTACATTATTGCCCACATTTATTATGAGCTTTCCCTTGTCAAGTATTGTGCTAGGCTCTGGGGTAACAGTGGTAAGCCACACCAGAAATTTGCCCCATCCTCATGAAATTTGCAGCTTAGTTGGGGAGACAAACATGACTCAATATTTATTATAGTCTCTTTGCAACAAAGGAGAAGAGTTAAGGAAAACTGACCTTTCAGGGGATGGTGGCCAGAGGCAAGAGTAGGAAATTGGGGGCAAGGAGGAGCATTCCCAGTAGACGGTCCAGCCTCTGCAAAGGACCTGAAGCCAGAGGGACCTTAGCACATTTGAGAGACTCCACCGATTTGGGTGAGTGGAGACCATTGGGTCAGTTTTATTCACACTAGTAAGGAATGTTGTTGAACCTGCAGTTGCGTGGCACTGAGGATAAAGGAGTGCCTTGATCTTCAGGGCAGAGAATTAGCTAGACAACTGGCCAGATGTGGAAGTAGAAGAAAGTACTAGATGTGGGAGATTAACGGCAGAATATACAAATGCTAGCTAGTGTTCTGGTCAGATTTGAATTCTTTTCCTTAACAGAAATCTCTTTGTGGGAAGGGAATAAAAGAACATTGACCCATATTTGCTAGGTATTTTCACATGTACCATTTTGTTTCTCCTTTGCAACTCTATATCCTACTAAATTAAAGGCAGGTATATCTTACTCATGCCACTCCTTTCTTTCGCCCCTTTTCTTAATAGTAATATGGCAAGCTGGAAGTAAGCTACTCTTACATTTTGCTGAAGCCTTGAGATGAGGTGATGGAAATGGGGCTGATCCCGGTGGTTGATCAGAAGGAGGGGGCCTTAGCACATGAGACACAGAGCCCTCCATCATCTGAGTGGGTTTTTAGTCACCCTCCTTTCTTTTCATCACCCTCAGATTTCTAGTTGGACTTGGTAAATACTGTGTTGAGCTGGTTGCATCTGTAGTGCTCTCACTGAATTTATTTCTAGAGTGAATCACTTGCTTTAATTGTTCCATTCCATGAACATTATGAGTACCTTCCAGATGCCAGGCCAGTCCTGCCCAATGAGGAAGAGAAGCATGTTCCCTAAAGCTAGATTTGGGCTAATACCACATTAAAACCCCCAAAAGGGTTGGCTAGAGAGTGTTTTAATTGTATTTCATGCTGTCACTTCCCATTTCCATCTCATCTTTTTCCACTTTAAAAAACCCCTTAGAATTCAAGTTTGCCCTGGAATAGGAAGAAAGTTGTCATTGGAAGAGGGACCTGAATTTGGGTTAGGATTATGGGGTTGTCACAACTAATTGAGATCATGACTTCCATTTGGACATCCACACTTGAGATCTGTGCTGTTTCGCAGGGCCAAGTGTAGCTAAATAGGAGTGATGCCTGCAAGTAAGAGAAATAGGTGACCTTGAGAGGAGAAAAAGTTAGGTACATGGTGTCCCAGGCTGACAGCTAATAAAGACAGCACAGTACTTGATCTTTTGGTTCCTATTTGAGTGTAGCCTATCCTGCCCTAGCTGGGCACTTAGAATTATGGGCCTGGGCCCAAGTCTGTGTGACCAGGTGCTGAGCCTTGTGTTAAAAGTTTCAGGTCAGTTATTAGAACTGCTCAGTCGTTAGAACGTTGGCCCACAGAATGAAGGGTGGTCTGGGTTTGATTCCCAGTCAAGGGCATGTACCTGGTTGCAGACCTGATATTGACCTGGATCGGGGGCGGGGGAGGGGGGGGAGGTGCAAGAGGCAACCCATCGATGTGTCTCTTGCATTGATGTTTCTCTCCCTTCCAATCTCTAAAAATCAGTGGGGGGAAAATATCCTCAGGTGAGGATTAACCAAAAGCTTCAAATCAATTATGACTTGAGCTCTATCTGTCTGGCTAAAATTGGGAAGGTCTATTGAGTCCAAATACCTTTTTCTCCCACTAGGCTTTATAGATGGAGAAGCTGATTCCATATATTGACTTATTGGGAAACTATTTGGCAGGGATGATTTTAGGCACAGAAGATACATTAGTGAACAAAACAAATTCTTGCAGTTGTGGAGACATTCTCGTAGGGAGACAGATAACGTAGGTGATATGTTAGAAAGTACTAAGTGCTGGGGGGGAGGGGTGTAGACAGGATAAGGGAGATCAGAATGCTGGGAGGACAGGTGGGGCTGGAGGTGTGTTTTGAAGTAGAAGAGATGGGTGGGTCTCCTTGAGACGGTGACATTTGAGCATTAAAGGTTAGGAGTTTAGGGAGTGAGTCATGAGGATTTCTGGCAAAAGAGCATTCCAGAGGAAACAGCCAGCATAAAGGCTTAAGGGTGATATAGTAAACCGAGAAGAGTGTAGGAAGAAAGCCTAGAGAGGCAACTAGGAGTCAATTAGAATAGGCCTTATAATGATGGGTTATATCTTTCTTTTATTTGTCATTTTTTGACATTGCTTAATAGTCAATTAGTAAGGATTTTGGCTTTTATTCTTGGGTAAGATAGAAACACATTGGTGTGTATTCAGTTACCTGATATGTAATCTTTAAAAGGGTCACTATGACTTCTGTGCTAAAAGTAAGCTATAGGGTTGAGCAAGTGAGGGGATGAGATGGGAGGCTACCGTAATAACCCAGGTGAGAGGGAGCAGGGGAGGTGATGATTGGATTTGGGGTGAGTTTTTGAAGTCAGCCAACAGGATTTCCTGCTGGATTGAATGTAAGAAAGGAATTAAGGATGACTTCAAGGTTTTGGCCTTGGAAGCCATTGGAAGGATAAAGTTACCATCAGGTGAAATTGGGAAGACATTAGGAGGAACAGGTTTGGCTGGAGAGTTAGGTTTTAGTCATCTGAAAGTTTGGAATGCCTATTTTGAAGCCAACTACAGAGGTAGAATGGACAGTTGGATGAATGTGGAGTTCAGAGAGGAGGTCTGGTCTAGAGATAAAATTTAGAGATGGCCAAGGTACTACAGTGAATATAGAGAAGATTCAACTGAGTCTGGGCCATCCAACGTTGAGATTGGGGAGAAAAGAAACCAGGGATTGGAGACCTGGATATGGTCTCTTGGAAGCCAGGTGAAGAAAATACCTCAGGAGGAAGAAGTAATCAGCCATGGCATATATGCTGGTAGATTGAGTGAGATGAGGACTGCGGATGGACCATTGGATTTAACACCTGGGAAGGCCTTAGTGCTCATGAACAATTTTGGTGGCACATAATGGAGAAAACCATTAACTAGAATAGGTTTGAGAGGGAATGAAAGAATAATTGGAGACAGTGAGAGAATAGAGCAATGTCTCTGAGTTTTTGGTCTGTTACACTTGATACCGAGGACGCCAGAGAGCTTTTGTTTTAGGTTTTATCTATGGATATTTGTGATATTAGAAATTCAAACAGATGTTTTAAATGTTCCTTTCAAGTGAATATAAATACTAGCTAGATTGACTACATGTTAACATAAGTATAATTTATGAAAAAAACTATTTTCAATGAAACAGTAGAATGGCACTGTTTTATAGTTTTGCAACTCTCTTTAGTATCTGCCTTAATAGTCAGCTGGATTCTCATATATGCTTCTGTATTATAACCTGGTGCCATGTCTCTCATCATGAAACTTCTAGAAAACTCCACTATACACTTAGGAGAGAATGAAAGGGAAAAGGGAAATAAAGTCTGAGTGTTATGAAAAAGTTTATTAGTTTCATGGATTCCCAAACTGCACACCACACTTTGAGAACCAATGGTGGTATTGATGACTGTTCCTGAGGAATTTTACTGGGAAGGGGAGCTGAGAAGTAGGGGGCAGCTGGAGACCAATGAAGGCACGGAGTTTGTGTCTTGATTCCTAGCCTGCTTTTCTATTAGACCTGTTGTTGTGGCTCTGACTCTACTGCATATAGGAAACATACTTATCCCCAGTACCCGCACCAATCTAGGATTATAGATTTCAGAGTAATATTTAAATCAGGGTTACATGATTTTAGTGTTTTGCAACAATGAATGGAAATGTACTTTGGATTGGAAACAAAGGTTTCCTCTGAAAGGTATGTTGCCTAGTGGATTTTCTGTGGTTTACTGGCTATGTGACCTGAGGCAAGTTATTTAATCTCTCTGGGTTTTATTATCCATAAAATAGAGTGGATCATATTTATCTTATTGAGGTTGTTGGGAATCACAAGAGGTTGTGAAAGTGCCTTATAAAAACTGCCTAAATGAAATGTTAAATGGTAGAATTTTAGATATGTACACTTTGACTTGAGGTAGAAGTGTTCTTTTTTTTTTTAGGCTGTGGTCTTGAGTGGTTGCCTTGCCTCTGATGATTACCAAATAGATTTTTTTCCTAAACAAAGCTGTTCTCTGCAACTGTTCAATGACTTGTTTCAGAAAAATTATCTATTTTTAAAGATTGCTTAATGATGGATTATATCTTTCTTTTATTT